TGAACATAGAAGTCAACACTTAGAGGCGACAGTCTGTTTCATGCTATATGCAATCGTCAATTAATTTATAATATTAATGCTCTGTAAATTTACATTGAGCACTATTTTGTAAAAATAAAAATATCTATAAGAACACCGGATTATATATCTTGCTGTTCTTTCTTTATATATATATGTTTGTGTGTGTGTGTTTGTGTGTGTGTGTGTGTGTGTAAAAAATTGTTAGAAAGATTCTTTACAAAAGCTTATTGTATATAGACTAAAATGAGAATTGGAAAAAGACGGCACCTAATATTTACAGTGATTTATATAGTGACATTTATCTGAATTTTTACAGAGAAAAATTAAAACTTTGTTATTTACATTTGGATTTTCAGTGTTTTTTTTTTCTTAGAAAAATAATTTGTTTAAGCGCTTTTTTTTTACTTTAACCGGTTTCGCTTAGCTTTTCAAAAAGTGTTGAACACATGAAAAAAAATTAAAATCAAGGGACGTAACTGGTTATATATGTTGTTTATGGTCAGGGGAATTTGGTAGAATCTATTTATGCATTGAATTAAGTATTGGTTTGAACTTGTTGATGAAAAATGTTTCCCTATTAATCCGCCTTTGTTCAGTGGTTCTGTAGTTGCACTGGTAGAATAGGAAGACATTAAAATTTGGCAGGTTTCCGTATTCGTCTGTATGTTGGCTAAGGTGTATTTTTCTCTAGTGTATTTTTCTTTGTTGGCGATGAACTGTCATTCTTCGACGGAGTGTCAGGGCGGTTTGGCCAATGTAATGCTCGTGGCAACATTTGCATGTAATTATGTATATTAAATTCTCTGAATCGCACAAGAAGTCATTTTTAATTTTTAATTTGGATCTGTTTTTGAAGTGAAATTCATGGCCCTCTAATACGTAGTTGCATACTCGGCAAGGGGGTCGGTTGCATTTTTTCACCTGAGTCTCTTTGTGTTCTGCAGTTTTGCATTTGTCTATCTTTTTTAGTGATTTTGGTTGTCGTTTACTTTTTATGAATTGGATGCTAGGATTTATATTATTAATGGATGTTTCGGAATGTCTTTATTTTATCCAGACTTTCATTCCACAGAATGAAACAGTCATCTAGATATCTTTTCCAGTTTTATTTCCGAAGTTATGTCATAGATTTTTAGTCCATGGTATCCCATGACTAGGTTGATATATGTTGGTGCAACCTTTGTCCTGTCGAGGGTGCAAAGAAGTCCCTCAAACAAATAATAAAAAGAAAATGCACTACAAATAAAGTAAAATAAACTTTTTGTTTATTTTTGTAAAAATTTTTTTCTTGTACAAAATGAAATTGTCCGTAAAGCTGCGGAAGAAAAAAAGAAAAGAAAGGAACTGGGAATGTGAGAGGGAAAGGTAGGACTATGTGTAGCGAGCGAGATGAGAGAAAGAGAGGGTGAAAGAATGTTCACTGATACGTTATACTGCCTGTTGTGTGAACTGCTGAATTCTGTGTGTGTGTGTGTGTGCTCAGGAAACTGTCCGTGTCGCTTTGATGTCAGCTTGTCGCTGTTCTCTCTCCGTTCTGATGAGAGTTTCTACCTTCCTTATATAAGAATGATGAGGCTCCGGGAGATTAAGAAATGGGTTTCTTATGTCGAGCCCTGATTGGTCAATAAATCATATTTTTGACCACGTGGTGTGCTTTTCACTACGTCCGAACTTTTGGGTGCGCCGTCCTTGTTTTTGACCCCACAGGGCATGGTAAGGAGTGAATTCCCGCGCAATTGTATTTTTTTGATACACGTGTGAATTAATTTTTATTGTGTGTATGTGTGTGGAAAATAAAATAAGAAACAGCACAATACTCCCCAACAGATTGGAAAATATATGAAAGATACATATGTTTTTCAATATGTTGATATATTCTTTAAAATGTTTCGGCCAGTGGACTTTTCTGCCGGTTTTCGTTGTAGGTGTGATGTCAGTATTTTGTTTTTAGCTTCCTCATTTTCTGTGTGAATATGTGTTTGTGGAGGTATTGTATGAGGTTGTTCGTCGATGTACGCTGGTTTGATGCGATCAATAGCGATATTATCTTTCTTTTCTTTTCTCATAACAGTAAAATATTTTTCATGCCTGTCCAGAACTTGATATGGTCCTGAATAATTTGGACAGAGTGGTTTTTTAACTGCGTCATTTCTGATAAATATATATTTGCAGGTGTGAAGATCGTTTGGGATGTAAGTTTGTTTCTCTGTTTTCCTGGTTGGTGCAAAGTTGAGAAGAGACATTCTATGTTTTAATTCTGTTACAAACGTTGTTGTAGGTGAAATGTCTGTCTTGTGATTAAAATACTGTCCAGGTAATGTTAATGCTGATCCGAAAACTACCTCTGCAGGTGTGCTTTGCAAATCTTCTTTCACCGTGTTTCTTATCGCTAAAAGAATTAGCGGTAAATTGTCTGTCCAGTCCGCATTACTTAAATTCATAGCTAGAGAAACTTTTAACTGTCTGTGGAATCTTTCAACCATCCCATTTGCACAAGGGTGATAGGCGGTTGTTTTGATGTGATTCGTTCCTAACAATTGGGTAAATTCGGCAAAAAGTGTTGATTGGAATTGGGAACCTCTATCTGTTGTTACTACTGAAGGTACTCCAAAAATTGCTATCCAGTCCTGCAGTATAACTCTGGCTATTGTTGCAGCTGAAGTGTCTTTGACTGCTATGGCTGTAGGCCATCTGCTAAATCTGTCAACTATAGTAAGAATATGTGTATGTCCTTTTGAGGTGGGTAAAGGTCCTACTAAGTCGACATGAATGTTGGTGAATCTAGCATCAGGTATGCTAAAAGTGCCAAGTGGTGATTTCGTGTGTCTGTGGATTTTGTTCTTTTGGCAAGGTATACAAGTTTTAGTCCAATTGCGAATGTCCGTGTTCATATTGGGCCAAACAAAGCGTTCTGCTATTAATTTTACAGTGGCTCTTTTTCCTGGATGAGATAAATTGTGAAAATGTTGAAAAACTAGTCGTCTGATGTTCGGTGGTATATATGGACGCGGATGTGTTTGTGATACATCACAATAAAATTTTGTTGTACCAAATGGTATCGGCATTTCTTTCAGTTGTAAGGATGTTTTTGTTGTACAACTGGAAGTGTTTCATCTGTTTTCTGCTCTTGTGCGATCAATTCCATACTTAAAGAACTGGAATTTAAAGAGGCTAGTGTAGATCGAGATAATGCGTCTGCTATAATGTTCTCTTGTCCCTTAATATATCAGATGTCTGTGGAGAACTGGGCGATATAATCGAGATGTCTGATTTCTCGTGGACCATATTTATCTACATGTGTATGTAGTGCATATGTTAATGGTTTGTGATCTGTATAAATGCAAAAATTTCTTCCTTCCAGCAAATGTTTAAAATGTTTAATTGCAAGGTAAATTGCTAGAAGCTCCCTTGAAAAGGTGCTGTATTTCGTCTGTGTCTTGCTTAGCTTAGCAGAAAAAAAAAATTATTATATAGGCGTCATTGTGTTGTTAGCAATTTGGTGTATGACTGCTCCTACAGCTATTTCAGATGCATCTGTTGTAAGCGTGAGTTTTGTGTCCTCACTGTCCGTTACGTAGTTTAGTTTTTTGTAAAGTTGGCCAAAGCAGTTTTAGCTTGTTTGAAGGCTTCTAGGCTAGGCCCTTCTAACTTTAACTGTTGGTTCTTTGTTTTGTTTTGTAACAAATCTGTTAACGGTGCAAGTAATGTAGAACAGTTAGGTAAAAATCGTCTGTAATAGTTAATCACGCCTATGAATCTGCGTACTTGTCTGACTGATGTTGGTTGTGGGAAATTTGAAATTGCACTTACTTTCTCGGGTAGTGGAGATATTCCGTCCTTGTCAATTAAGTGTCCGCGGAAATTAACCTTTGGTTGGCTGAAAATGCATTTCTCTGTATTTATTTTCAGACCGTAATGTGATATTCTTTCAAATGTTTGCTCTAAGTGCTGTCTGTGTTCGTCGAGGTTTCTGCTGGCGATTAAAACGTCATCCACATATGCAAATATAAATGGCAGACCTCTAAAAACTTCGTCTATTAACCTCTGGAAGGTTTGACAGGCGTTCCTAAGCCCGAAAGGCATCCTTACGAACTCGTAAAGGCCAAATGGTGTGGTCAGTGCAGTTTTATGAATGTCCTCTTCTGCCACTAGAACTTGGTAGTACGCCTTTACAAGATCCAATTTGGAAAATATGGTGGCGCCTTGCAGACCGATGGCGAAATCGTGGATATGTGGAATAGAGTATCTATCCGGGACCGTTTTTTTAGCATTTAATCTTCTAAAATCGCCACAAGGACGCCATGTTGTAGCGTCGGACTTTTGCACCATGTGTAGCGGTGAAGACCAAGCACTTTTCGAGGGTCGGATGATCCCTTGCTGTAATAAATGTTGAAACTCGTTTTTCGCAATCTTATACTTGTCCGGTTTCAATCGTCTGGGGGGGTGGCATAGACAGGTTGTCCAGTTGTCTTGATGTGGTGCTTGGCATTATGTTTTATGGTGTCTGTGTTTTTAAATGGCTGGGAGAGTTGTGGATATTTTTTAGTAGCTGACGGATGTACTGGTCCTCGGGTAAGGCAGAACTGATTCCAGTAGACTGGTATTTCGAGGTGAGTCCTCTTACTGAAATCTTGGTTTGATTATCCACCAGTGTGCGATTAGTCATGTCGACAGACAGGTTGAATCTGGCTAAAAATCTGCCCCCAATATAGGCGTTGTTACACTGGCTATGGTAAAATTCCAGAAAAAATTCCGTCGTATGCCGAGATTGATATTGAGCGATTTCTCTCCGTAAGTTGGTATTTTGGTACCGTTAGCTGCTTGAAGATGATAAGACTGTGGCATAGTCTCCTGATTTTGTGTTGGTGGTATCACGCTTATTTCAGCTCCGGTGTCTATTAAAAAGTTATATCCATTAATTTTGTCGCGGATATAAAACAGACGACCTTTTGTTAAAAATCCAGCAACAGCCGTCGTCTCTACTGGCTGGAATTTCCGTTTCCCGCATTCGCGTTGTTGAAAGAACAAGGATGTGTACAACGTCTCGCCTCAGGACCAAACCTTTTGTGGTAGTAACAAATTTCATCTTTTCGATTGCGGTTGTCAGTCCGGCCTCTGCTGAAACTTCGCTTTCTGTAGCCTGGACATTTATCGCGGCGGTACTGTCGGTCTTTTTGCAGTAAGCCTTGTAATTGTATAGACAACCTTTCTACAGTAGACTTGAGGTCGTTAAATTCCCTGTCTCTTTGTTGGGCTGGTTGTGGTTGGATAGAGTTTACCCTGCGGCTTCGAAAACTTTCATGGATCCGATCTGCAATGTCCGCGAGTTTTTCTGTCTGCGTTTCCTCCGTCATGGGTGCGAGGATTTGTGTTGTTGTAGTGGGTAACTTGTCCAGCCATAAGCTCCGCATAATGTTCTCGGACATTTTGTTGTCACCCAGTAAGGTTCGCATGTGCCTCAATAACTGCGATGGGGTGCGGTCTCCTAATTCAACCTGAGTGAAAAGGTTGCGTAGCATGGCTTCGTTCGAGGCACTGGTCCGTTTTAAAATTGCTTCCTTGAGTCTATCGTACGGGTTGTCATCCGGGACATTTTCCAGTAAATCCATTACTTCCTCGACGATGTCTGCTGGCAGTTTTTCCACTAAGTAACAATACCGGGTTCTCTGGGAGGTGATTCGCTTCGCATCAAATAATGCCTGGATTTGAACGAACCAGGACTTAGTGTTAGTCGTGTTGAAAGCCGGGATATTCAACGATAGTGTGGCGAGAGGGGTTTCCGAAGATTGTGATTCCATTGTGTCCTTCCTCTTCGTTTTGTTTGTTTTTTTTAAATGTAGTGTCTCACGTCGGTCACCAGTTTGTAGAGGGTGCAAAGAAGTCCCTCAAACAAATAATAAAAAGAAAATGCACTACAAATAAAGTAAAATAAACTTTTGTTTATTTTTGTAAAGAATTTTTTTTTTTCTTGTACAAAAATGAAATTGTCCGTAAAGCTGCGGAAGAAAAAGAGAAAGAAAGGAACTGGGAATGTGAGAGGGAAAGGTAGGACTATGTGTAGCGAGCGAGATGAGAGAAAGAGAGGGTGAAAGAATGTTCACTGATACGTTATACTGCCTGTTGTGTGAACTGCTGAATTCTGTGTGTGTGTGTGTGTGTGCTCGAAACTGTCCGTGTCGCTTTGATGTCAGCTTGTCGCTGTTCTCTCTCCGTTCTGATGAGAGTTTCTACCTTCCTTATATAAGAATGATGAGGCTCCGGGGAGATTAAGAAATGGGTTTCTTATGTCGAGCCCTGATTGGTCAATAAATCATATTTTTGACCACGTGGTGTGCTTTTCACTACGTCCGAACTTTTGGGTGCGCCGTCCTTGTTTTTGACCCCACAGGGCATGGTAAGGAGTGAATTCCCGCGCAATTGTATTTTTTGATACACGTGGTGTGAATTAATTTTTATTGTGTGTATGTGTGTGTGGAAAATAAAATAAGAAACAGCACAGTCCTCATGGCTGTTTATGAGTTTTGTTGGTAGGATGTTTCCTTGAACATGAAATAATTGTTTTTTTTTTTTTTTTAATGAATTCTAGGCTTTCTATGATGAAATTTCCTTTGATACGATTTGGTAACCGCTAGAACAGAATTAGAGTTGGTACGTATTGAAATAGAAAAGGCACGTACTTGTGACGGCGTGCTCTGCTTGTCCGTTGTTCACCGCACCTGTGATGGCATCCAAGTGTCTGCATATAAACTCGACTCGCTATGTCCACAGATTTGTCTCAGATTAGCCGTAATCGTATTCAACAAAAAATAACGACAACTGCTTTTCAAAATACTGGTTGAAAAATAGCAACAATACGAATTCTCACGAAACCACCAATCTTTCCCTTCGGCTTCGATGGTTGACTGGACGGGCTCTCGCCCTTTGAAACGTCGTAATATACCAGTAGACAGTTAGCAGACCTTCTCTTCTGTTCAAGCTATCACAGGGAGATTTCAAGTAGCCCTAGAAAAAAATGTTACCTTACAGGAAACGTCACTCTCAAAGAGAAAGGCAATACAAAAAAACAAAGGAATTTTAACCACCCCTTCAAGTAACTCATATCACAGGAAACGTCATTTTTACCGACCTTCCAAAATAAAGAAGAGGACTTTAACCACCCCTTCAAATCCTTCCCATTTCGTAACCCCTAAAAAATGGCATTTTAGCATCCTACAGAAATGAAAAATAGTTTTACTCCCCCATCAAGACAAAAACCAGAGAAAATGGGGAGTATCATCACATGATCTCCCTCATAAAGATGCACAAGTCCCATGTCTCACTGCACAGTGATTACATTTCTTGCTTTATTTTCTTTTTAACACAAAAAAATTCACCTAAAACAAAAATGAAACAGCTTTTCTCACAAGTCCCAACAATCAGAACACACACAAAACTATGAAAAAAAGTCTTATCAAAATATATATATATATGTGGGTAAACTACAACAATGTTCATCTTCAGTCGGTTCCTGTGTCGTATAAAATTATCAGACGCATGCAAGGGTGAATTTTTTTTTTTAACTTCCTTTTTTTTTTAACGGTTGAAATTGAAACAAAGTTCACACTGTCCTTTTCTCCAGAAATACATCCAAAATGTGAAAAAAATGGCTACAAATGTTTTCTTCTTTTTTTTTCTTCTGATTCCATACGTATAGTGTGAAATTGTCGCCTCCTTCTATTCGTATGACTCTTGGGGCGCTACTTTAATCTCCTCTCCTCGCCCTCACATTCTCTCACCGGCTCGTTTTCTACCGTATGCTCTTTCAGCTAACGTCCCACATAACAAGGGGCCTGCGTAGCCGACCGTTTCGGCCGCCGACCGCCTCCTATGCTCTTTCGAACGTCCCACATAACAAGGGAGAAATCACCGCCTTGTGACGCGGGAGAAATCTAGCTTGTGACGAGAAACTAGCAAGAGAAATTGGCTAAGCTAACCGAAAAGTCTCTATAATAAAATGCTACCAGGTTAGCTAAAGATAACTATGGTCTAAAAATGACTAGTAGTATATTACAACTAGGTTTGTAATATAACCTAACTAAAAAGGGGATTTGCTAGTCCCTCCGACGTGTTAACAGTGTGTAAGGAGCATGAATGAGAGGTCAAGGTCGAAATGACCTGTTCCTCTGCCGGTTCAAGGATAGAAGGAGGAGGTAACTCCGACATATCTACCAAGGCCAGAAAGGAGTTTCGAGTTTAAATTTTTTTTCTTCACCTTACAGTATAGTAAAGCAAAAGATTTTCCAAGTTTTATAATGGCCCAGCTATGGTAGCTCTTACAGTCACTGTCGGTTCCCTATGCGTACCCCTAACAAGTACAGTCCCCAGTCCATGGCCTGTACATTCCTAATTGGCTTCAACACTTTTAGGTAATCTTTACTAATGATCCACTTTGATCTGGTTGGGGTTATGATGATGAATAGCAAGAAAAAAAAAACCTCATACCGAATGCCACCGGTACTATAAACATGCCCTGCAGAAAAATTCCAGGTACATCGGCCAGTCTGAAAAGCATAACACTGAATTGGTACAACCCAACGTGACAGGCAAATTCAGCCTGCTCCCTATCGGTTTTGTAGAGGGCTACTTGCCAGTAGCCAAACCTCAAATCAAGGGTAGAAAATTAGATGACTTCCCCGGCAATACCAATATGTCGTCGATAAGGTTAATGGGTAGGCTGGTTGCATGGTCTGGGGGAGGAAGCAGAGAGAAGGAACTTATTGAGGGCTGCAAGAGATAGAGGGAGATGGAGAGCCATGATCACCTATATCCTGAAAGGACATGGCACATAAAAAGAAAGAAGTGGCTTGATTATTTTATTCCGAGTCATACACAGTGATGTGGAGCGTTCTATTATTCCTGTTTTCAGCATATCCCTAACTGCACTTTGTATGGGTTTACGCTTATGCAGTGGGGTCCGGTATACCGGACCCCACTGGCAGGTGGTTATCCGTGTCTATCTTTATCTCTGCTGTTTCTATTTAGCCTAAATCAGCGTCCGAGTCAGCCACTATATATATATATATATAAGTGAACATTGAAGTGAACTCAATGTTCATTTTTATATTTACATACACTCTGATATTGAGCACTTTATCCCATAAATATAGCACACCTTAAAACTATATTTCTTCATATATATATATATATATATATATATATATATATATATATATACCAAGTATAGGATTTGTGTATACAGAATAAATTCCACTAACCAAAAAATACTCAATACAGAGTAGAGCAAATATAATTTATTCGAAACTTATAAATGTTATAAAATCACTACAAAAATAGCCATTTTGTTTCAACACTTCTGGTGTCTTATCAAGTGATGGTGTTGATGTTCAATTATATAAATATTATAATATATATATATATATATATATATATATATATATATATATATATGTCTGTCTGTGTGTGTGTGTATGTATGTGTGTGTGTGTGTGTGCAAAGAAAGAACAGTCAGATTTAGATTTCAGAGTTCTTTAGCATTTATTCTTAAAAACAGTCCTAGATACACAGTAGAGCATAATATTATAATTATTATTTAAAAATATGTAGTAATTGCAACACAGAAATTACCATGTTTCAAAAATAAAACCTTAATCTTAAACTTAAAATTTAAAGTTCAGTTCCATTTTCAAACGATGCTGAATAACTTTCGAAAAAATTGACTTTATTTATAAGCCAAATAGCATTATATATTTTAAGTTGGTGGGGGAATGAGAGTTCAAAATATTGGCTTTTTTGACGAATCAAGATATAAGTATATTTTTATGTGGCATAGTGAAAATCCGTTAAGATTAGGTGGGGATATGAAACTTCTGTCTGATACTGACTTCCTTTTATGCGAACCTGTCATCATAGTCTGGTTATTGTATTTACTTGACCCACCCACTGAGTTAAGTTGTGACACAAGGTCGGTTTTTCACATGGGGACCCGAGTCTTCACTCGGGCCGCTGGTCTTAGCTGGTCATAGCTTGTCCAAGCTGGTTTAAGCTAGTCTTAGCTGGTCCATGATACTACCAGTACAGAGACGAATACCTGCGCCCAGTAAAATTATTTGTTTCATAAAAAATACAAAATTGTGGCACAAGACCGAAAGGGAAATGGGGAGAGACAGGTCTTCATTAGCTATCCTAGTCCTAGTTAATCAGAATCACGACCCATTCATTCATTACAATTTGCCCATTCACCACAAGAACACATCCATCATCACTCAATCCTGCATATACCATAACACCGCATATTCACAGGGGATCTACAAAACATCCATGACGTAAAAATTTCATTTGATATTCCATAAAGTCCGGTAAGTATCAATATGTTATAAACAACCCAGAGAGTAACTTACACATAGGTATTTACTCTGTCTCCTCACTAAAACGAGTTGTGACACAAAGTCAGTTTTTAAGGTGGAGACCCGAGCGCATACACCCGGGCTAGGAACAAAAATTGTCCGCAGCCCCCGCAACCGTCGATTGCGTTGGCCCTAGTGTGAGCACCGATCCCTCTCTCAGGTGCAATGAGAGGGCGCGGCCTCGGGCAGCTGTTCCCCAGGGCTGAGCACCTCTCAGTATGATTTTCCTCAGTTGCGACTTTGTCCTTTGCCCAAAGACAGAGACGCAACTGAGCGATGATAAATAATGTGCTACAAACCACTCCAAGGAGCAGTTGATTTAGTTGAAATTGCTTGTTATTTTGCAGAATTGTGTCATCAGTGTGTATTATTTGACCTGTTTCAGCTGCAACAAAGCAACCCCCAAATCATAATACTGCCACGTCACTATACACACACACATACACACACACACACATATATATATATGAAGAATAATTCGAGGAAAAGAAAAATAGTATTTTGTTTACTCCCCCCCCCACACACACACACCACCATTTAATTTAGAAGGCAAATGTAAAATAGGGAAAATATTTTTCAAATTGCTTAATAAACACTACCTAAAAAATCAGAATTACACAAGATCTTTAATAAAAACACAGTTAAATTAAGCTACAGCTGCACTAGTAATTTGGAAAATATAATATAATGACAAAACGCCAGGAATTTCAAAGATAACGTGCAACAAGATATCGTTAACAGTGAAACATGTAAATGTAGAGACAAAGGTAAATGTCCACTAGATGGAGTTTGAAAAACAGAAGGTGAAGTAAAAAGATACAAATGAAAGAGCAAAATATATGTGGTGTGTACTGAAGGCAGCGTCAAGAAGAGATGGTATAATCACAAGTCATCATTCAAGCTAGAATTCTACCAAACTAGCCAGCCATGTGTGGAAACTAAAAGAAATAAATAACAAAGATCCCATTGTAATTTGGAATTTTTTTTAAAAAGCCAAAACTTATAGCAATTGTTGTGATATCTGCAAACTGTGCCAGGAGTAAAAGTTATTTTAACAAGTTGTTTTTGAAAATGAGTCATGACCTCTGGGACCAATTAATGATGTAGGGTGAGGTATACCTGTATTTTTATAAGAAAAAAAGAAACCAAAAAGAGACATTTTGAACCTTGCAAATTTTTATACCATGTAGTGTTTTGTAGGTTTCCTGTAAATATGTGGTATTGTGGAACATGTAAGATTGAGTGATTGATGAGGTCTTGTGGTGAATGAGTAAAATGAATGAATAGGTCATGAATCTGATTAGATAGGGTTAGGTTAGTTACTGTGAACCAGTATTACCCCACTTCCTTTTCAGCCTTGTGCCACAATTCTTGGAAAAATGGAAATAAAAAAACTTATCGCCTGAGGATATTGAAAGGCTGAAACCAAGTTAGTATGATTGGCTGATCTAATTTTTTTAAATTTAAAGGCTTTGCATGTTAAATTCTTATTTTCTTTATATGTGTATTGAGCACTTTTTAATACAACTGTTTCCTGGCCTAAAACAACTTTGACCAATAACTGTTATATATATATATATATATATATATATATATATT